TGGGTGTGGTTTGGGCTTTGCTTCTGTGAAGACTGACAGCCTTGGAGACCCTGTGGTGCAGTTCCACTCTGTCCTCTAGGGGCGCTGTGGGTCAGGTCTGACTGCACAGCAATGAGTTTTTTGTTTGTTTGTTTGTTTGTTTTTAGTTTTCATCCTCAGGGGTCCCTGGAATTATAATATTAGGAAAGATAGTCTCCATGAGAAGGTGACATTTGAGCAAAGTTTTGAAGGAGGTGACAGAGATAATCATGTACTACCTGGGGCTCAAGCATTCCAAGCATAGTGAATAGGCAACTCAGGTAGGCAAGTACTGTGATTAGAATGTTCTAGCAAAGGAGATGCTCCGACTGGAGTTGAGTGAGCCAAGGGGTGAAGTTCTGGCCATGAGGTCAGAGGTATAAGAGGATTCAGATGACAAGGAACCTTGAAGAGCAACGTAGGACTCTGGTTTGACTTTGAGTGAGATGGGCACCATTGTCTGATGATTACTTGAAGGCAATCTCTAAAAATGGAATTGATCCCAACTTATAAATCAGACCCCAAAATGTAATTCATTCCTCAGCCTTGAGCCCAAATCTTATCTCAATCCTGACCCATAACCCAACCCTAACTTCAACCCACAATTTGACCCGTTGTTATTGTTGTTGTTAGGTGCTGTCTAGTCAATTCCAACTCAAGGAGATCCCATATGACAAAGCAAAACTTACCACAGGATTTTCTAGGTGGTAGGAGCTCTGGTAGCATAGTGGCTAAAGCACTTGACTACTAACCAGAAGGCTGGTGGTTCAAACCCACCAGCCACTCCTCAGAAGGAAGGTTGGGCAATCCTACTTCCATAGTGATACTGCCTCGGAAACCCAAGGAGGGGTCGCTATGAGTCAGGGCCGACTCGACGGCACATAACAACAACAACAACAATCTTTACGAGAGCGGAACACCAGGTCTTTCTCTCTGGAGCTGCTGCGTGGGTTCGAAGCCCCAACCCAGCCCAGCACTTGAGTGCTTAACCTTTGTGTCACTAGGGCTCCTATTTGATCCATTTGATCTATTAAGACATTCTTCTTGCTGACTAAGACATTCATCACTTCTGCCTTACTGTCAGGACCCTGCTTTTCTTTGGATAATCTTCCATCCCCATCATCACACCAAGCATGGAAGCCATATTCTCCTTGCCAGCGATTGGTTAAGACATGGACATGTGACGCCACTCAAGCCAATGAACAGTGAGGGACCGTGAGACAAAGAACTAGATTTGGCCTTCAACTTTGGTTCCTAGGGGCCATGGAAGGAAGTGGCCTGCAGCCCAAGCCAAAACATTGCAGAGGGTCAGACCAAGAGAAGGAGGTCACTGGGGTCTTTGATGACTCTCTGAGCTGGTCAGTTAACCAACTGTTAACTCATGACAATCATCTTCATTATAAATACTTAATATACACGCAGTCTCTGGGTGGCATGTGCCGTTAATGTGGTTGGCTGATCACCAAAAGGTTAGCGGTTCAAGCTCACTGAGAGGTTCCTTAAGGCCTGGGGATCTACTTCTGAAAAATCAGACATTGAAAACCCTGTGGAGCATTGTCTTGCTGCCACGCACAGGGTCACCAAGGGTCAGAGCTGACTCCACGGTAACTGGTTTTCTTCACATTTAGGGCCTTATGTGGAAAGTGGGAGAGGCAGCAAAAAAGAGGAAGGCCCTCAAAGAGATGGATTGACGTGGTGGCTGCAACGAGGGGCTCAGGTCTAGCAAGGATTGCGAGGCTGGCCCAGGACCGGGCAGTGTTTCGCTTCTGTTGTCCACGGGGTCGCTGTGAGTCAGAGCTCACTTGACGGTACCTGAAAACAAGTGTATACTGTGATTACAAATGAATTTGCAAACACAGAATGAAAGGTAACGGTAAGCGTTGGGTGGGGTGGAGTTGGGAACCCTTCTCTTTTCAACTGATGCCTCTATATTAGGAGTCTACAAGGAGCTCTGGTAGCATAGTGGCTATGGCACTTGACTGCTAACCAGAAGGCTGGCGGTTCAAACCCACCAGCCACTCACTCCTGGGAAGGAAGGTTGGGCAATATACTTCTGTAGTAATACTGCCTCAGAAACCCAAGGAGGGGTC